ATATGAAAAGATTTAAGTTGATTATTCGAATTTGTTAAAGATGTTGCTAATTTTTGGTTTTCAGTTGCTAATCGTTTTAGTTTATTTTGCATAGCAGAAGCAGATGAATAGTGCTTAAAAAGACTACTCTCTAAGAACTCAATTGCTTTTTTTTGTAGGTAAGGTAATATTATTTCGCCCTTAACTTTGTCTTTAGAGTATGTCATGATGTTTATCAGACTTTCAATTTTTAGGATCTCATTATCTGGCAAACTTTTTATTTTATTGATTATTGTATTGAACTTTTTTTCAATAACACTTTGCCATTGGGGACTGATCGAATCAATATAATCTTGTATGTTTATTAATTCATTTTGATCCAAGGAATCAATTAGCTTATAGAGGTTTGGCTGTTGTGGATTTTTTGAATTAATGTAATCTTAAACTTTTATTAAAGTTTCGTTATTTAAAGAATTTATAATTTCGCAAATATTAGAATATTGTTTGTTTGATTCGTGATCTTCAGTAATTTTTATTAAATATCTTTTTTTCTTTGTATAACGACCCATTTTTAGTTCAAATTGGACAAAAAACTTATCCAAATATACATTTTATTTTCAATAACAAAACTCAATATAGTTGAGTCATTATACTGAGATTAAAACGCTTCATTGTGTTGAGGAATTAATGACGATAATATGATTTAAAATATGGGAGAATATGCATTTATTGATTAAATTCTTGATTATTACTCAAGAGATTACTAGCGCTTAGTTTTTTAAATCAGCTCAACACTAAATAATTCGCTTAGTATTGTAGAGGCTCATTATACATTATTAAATAAAAATGAAATGCTAAAATCGTTTCATTATTAAAGAGAAATCCGAAAGTAAATTCAAAAAATATATTAATAAAAAAAAAAAACTCTTCTGAAATAATGCTATATAATATTTATTTGTTAATTTCCATTTGTATATTCAGATTATATTATTTTTTAATTAACTTATTTTCGAAATTTATCACACTTACCATATTTTCGCGCAGGGGCGTAATTTCAAATTTTGGCACAAATTAAGCTTAA